AGGGTGTGAGGAGGGAGGGAGGGTGAGGGAGGTGTGAGGGAAGGAGTGAGGGAAGGGAGAATGAGGAGGGAGGAATGAGGGAGGGAGGGTGTGTGAGGGAGAATGGGGAGGAGGTGTGAGGAGGGAGGGTGTGAGGGAGGTGTGAGGAGGAAGGGTGTGAGAGGGAGTAAGTTAGTGAGGAGGTGAGTTGAGTAGGAAGTGAGGGAAGAAAATGAGTAGAGTGGTGAGTGAGGGTGATTTGGCTGCCCTCCCCCGTGTCACCTCTAGCAACGCCAACACAACTTGATGAGCTCCTCCTTCGTCCTCCTCCCCTCCCCTCCCTCCCCTCCCATCCCTCCCTCTCCTCTCCTCCCTTCCCACCCCACATCGTCGTTGGGTGTGGTTTTAGAAGTAGTTAGTAGTAGTAGTAGTAATAGTAGTAGTAGTAGCATTATTATTATTATTATTATTATTATTGTTATTATTATTATTAGTAGTAGTAGTAGTAGTGGTAGTGGTAGTGTTGGTAGTGGTAGTAGGAGTAGCGGTAGTAACATTAGTCGTAGTGGTACTGTAACTACCACTATCACCACCAGCACTATCACCACTACCACTATTACCACCACCACCACCACCATCACCACCACCACCACCACCACCACTATCACCACCACCACCCATATCACTACTATCACCACCAACAAAATCTTCTATTACCTCTACAGTCACACCTAATGAGTCAATCAGCCTAGGAGCCATTGGACAGGACGGTACCCCCACACACACACACACACACACACACACACCTGACGTAGCTGCGTAAACTAATAAACAAAACTCCTGACGAAATTCCTCGCTTCATTCTGCATTAAATATTCCTACGTCATACACGACCATGATCCCCCCAGTGGCCACGTCAGCGACTTCCTTGGGGTGGGGGTCGTCATTAGCGTCCTCTGGCCAGCTGGATAAGTACGATTCCTGAAGGTGTTGTTGTCATCTTCCAAAGTGAAAATCGATTCATTTAATATCTATTTCGTGTTACTTGTGAGGCGGAGTAAGTCTTCCCTTGCGTGTTAGGTCTTATTGACTGACTTAGTGACTGATTGACTGTTTGACTGACTTGTTGACTGACTCTAAATGAATAAACTATCTGGCTTGGTGACTCATTGACTGATTTAGTACCTGATTGACTTAACACCTGACTGACTTAGTAACTTGTAAAATTCTGCTATAACCAACTAAAATACTTTCCATCCCATCCTCTGTCCGATCCTCCAGGCACAAGGACTTCTCCTGCACCCACGCCCCAGCACCCGACCGCCACCCCACCACCCGACCCACCACCTGACCCACCCACGACCCATCACCCCGCCCCACCCGCCCCACCCCTCCTCACCCCACCCCGCCCCATCACCCGCCCCACCACCCCGCCCCTACCCCACCCCACCACTCACGCCCTACCCCGCCCCACCACCGCCCCACCCCGCCCCACCCGCCCCACCACCCCGCCCCACCACTCGACCCACCACCCGCCCCACCACCCGCCCCACCACCCACAGCCCACCACCCGCCCCACCACCCACACCCCACTAACTATTAATGGTCCCCTATCGTGCGTGAGAGCTATAGGTGATTCAGTTGGCGATATGAATTAATCGATCGTTCGCAGTGGCACAAATTTAACGAAATGAACAGACGATAAAGATTATAATGCGTGACAGTTGTTAATGTTTGTACCGGTGGTGGGGGGGTAGAGAGATGAAGAAGATGGGCGTGGTGATCTTATTGTTCGTGTTCTTCTTGTTGTTCTTGTTCTTCTACTATCTCCCTCATGTTACAGCAGCACTAAAACTACAGTCTACACAAGGTTACAGTAAACATTAGACATGGACTGTACCCCTAACTGTACCCATAGCTTCCTGTACCCTAGGTTTCCACTTGCGTGACGCTCTATGAGAAAGTCGATATTTACGCGTTACTCCGCCACAACTCGCGTTATTTCCCTCACATTACATAAATGCGTATACGGACCATGTACTTGCGTGTAATATAATATAGACATACATACGTACACACACCAGTACGGAACTATCGTGATATATCTCAATAAGTTCATTTTGTTGAGCGTGGTTTTAAATCAGGGTCAGGTAGTTGGTCCCAGGTTGACACACACACACACACACACACACACACACACACACACACACACACACACACACACACACATTTTGGCAATTAACGACAGGTGTAAGCTAATTCTACACACCTGTCACATAAGTAGATTAGACAGGTAAGACGTATAATAATGCCTGCGTTGTGATTGGTCCGTTGAGGTAGTGAAGTGAGCTGATTGGTTGATGTTATTAAATTTATTCTATTCTGTAATTTCTGTCTGTCTGTCTGTCTGTCTGTGAGAGTGTATAAAGGAATTTGTTTATTTATTCCTCTGCTTGTCTGTCTTTCTCGTGTTTCCTGTTTATCTTCGTGTCTGTCTGTCTGTCAATGTGGTGTTGTGTTTTTCTTATTATTTGTTCATTGTTAGTTGTTTGTTTACTTATCTTTATCCCTTTTCTGTTTCATCTCTTTCTGTTTATTTATCTCGTTATCTTGTTATCTGTCTATTTCACTGTCTATTAGTCTCTCTCTCTTTCTATTTCTCTATCAAATCTATTCAACTGTTTCTTTCTTTCTTTCTTTCTTTCTTTCTTTCTTTCTTTCTTTCTTTCTTTCTTTTACTTGCGGCATAAGTACATGTTTCTGTTAACTGCGGCGGGGGGAGGAGGGGGAGGAGGGGAGGGGGACATCGATAATATAGGCTTGCGTGCGGTGCTTTAGGGCAGCAAAGGACAGGTATTACGTGTGTGTGTGTTGTGTTACGTATGGAATGTGATGAGTGAGAGAGAGTGGAGGGTTGGGGAGTGAGGTGGGGGGAGAGAAGAGGGAGTGGGGAGAGGTGTGGAGTAGCAGCTATCACTAGAAAGTCTACAGGTTTGGCGCACCCACATTAACTTCTACAACAGGTTGGCTTGCGCTCTCTCTCTCTCTCTCTCTCTCTCTCTCTCTCTCTCTCTCTCTCTCTCTCTCTCTCTCTCTCTCTCTCTCTCTCTCAGTAAAACAGTGGCCAGTATATATACGCTTTATTAACAAACCATTCCTAAAGATGTTAACATTAACTAGAGTAACATTGAGACATTCGTAAGGAGGTAAACAATATAGTTAACATGCTTGAGATAATTTCAGTGACCTTTGACCTATGTTGATGCCTAGGAAGAATTTCAAGGTAATTGGCTGCTGAGATACCTGTGTTGATGGGGTGGGATTGGTCGCCAGGGGGTGGCCAGGGGTAGGTGGCCACAGGGTGCTAGGTGGCCTGTGGAGCTGGGTGGCCAACAGAGGCGCTGGTAATGGAGACTGTCTGGGTATGTTGAGGTGGTGTAGGGCCGTGTGTTTGTGTGTGTGTGTAGGGCCGTGTGTATGTGTGTGTGTGTGTGTAGGGCCGTGTGTATGTGTGTGTGTGTGTTTATCATATTTCCGGGTTCATTTCACCCTGGGTCATGTACAGTATTGTCTTAAGTTAAGGAACACCCCAACACACGCAGTAATATACAATGAATAAAGTATAATTCTCATTAATAAACAAAGGTCTTTATTTATCTTTGGTAAGAATATGTGAGTGTACAAACATGCAATATGGAAATCAGTCAATCGATGGTCATATATTTTGCAGCAACATTCAAATCCTCTCTTATATTTAACCTTAAGTTGCATTTTTAATCGTAGCAAACTTTCTTATTATAATTTTCAGTATTAGGAAGAACTGTATAATTTATAGCAAATTACATAGTCAAGAGTGATAATATCGGGACCAGGGCCACTAAGTAAGCATAACTGCAATAACAGTCAGGCGCTTATGCTTGGTTAAGGGCCCCAATGTAAACAGAGACAGTGTTTGTAGGTGCTTCCTTACATTACTGCCACGTGTCTCAGGTGTAAGTACCATCTGTCTGTCTGTCTCAAACCACCCGCCGTAAATACACAAACGCTCTATATCCAAAACAATCTACGTTTTACTCTGAGTGTAATCAGAAAACTCAGCAATACCCATCAGAGCTCTGTCCTCAGTTATACAGCACTCAGGTGAGATCATCAATACAGGTGACCTTGGAAGAGGTGTCTAGGGGTCGACTCACGGTCAATCAATACCTGAGTTGCGTCATAAACATTATAGGTATGTTGAGGCCCCATAAAGTACAGGTAAAGTGGGCCCCATGGAATACAGGTAAGGTGGGCCCCATAAAGAACAGATAACGTAGTCCCCCCATAAATTACAGGTATGACGGCCACATTAGATACAGTTATGGAGGGCCAAAAATATTACACCTGTCTTAAAAGATTACAGGTGTGGTGGACTGGGAAAATTACAGGTGTGGAAATTACGAGTCATTTTTATTATTTGTTTTGTGTTGTATCTCAAGTAACACAGGTTAATGTTTCTTTACAGCTCAAGGGATGAGAATAAATCGAAAATACTAACATTTATGGAATCGTCTCTCGTATTTTCAATGATTAGTGTTATCTTTTCTTGAGTTTAATCCCTTACGAAAAATTTGACCATCTTGCTTCACGTGTAAGATCCAGAATGTGACTTAAGTAACTCTGATTTTCCACTTAAGTTCTGCCATAAGTAATTACGCTATTCGTATCTCTATCATAGGGCAAAATTAGCGTAGGAATCTTGGCGAAATCATATGCTGGTTTCTATCGGAATGTGTGGTGAAAATTTACCAGATAAACATCTACACACACACACACACACACACACACACACACACACACACACACACACACACACACACACACACACACACACACACACACACACACACACACACACACACACACACACCCATCCACCTTGTCCCCCCCCCACAAATTAATACACAACATATCATTTACACCTGAGAATAATTAATTAATCGATGAAATATATTAATAATACCTGTTTACTTCTCTCACAGGGGGAACGGCAACCCAATGTACGACCGTCGTGTTGTGAGAGGCTCTAACTACGCCAAACGTCTGGGCAGCGGCGTAAGTTTACCTATGCTTACCTGTGTTTACCTGTGCTTACCCTAAAAGTCTTGAGTCTTTACATGCGTTTAAGTCCGGGTTTTAATTCACATCTCACCTAAAGTCTTGGGGTCTTGTGTGAATTGAGATCCGGGGTCTTATTTCAATTTCCTTTTTAAGTCTTTTTAAATCCGGGTTTATGCTTAGCTCCCCCATCGAAGTCTTTGGAGGGGGAGGTGGGTCTTTGAAGAGTTAAGTGTTTTGGTCTTACTTCAACCCTGATATGACCTACATAAGTCTTGTGTTCATATTAGGGTCAACAGCTTCTCTTTATTTGTGTCTATATTATAATTTAGAACTTATTAGTCTCGAAGTTTTCTCTTTATTTAGGACCAAATGGAAAAGATTTCTCAAAAGATTCGTAAATTTTCTTGTTTTTTTTCTTAATATTGTAATAACTCGTCTAAACTAGTTCATTAATTTACAATATATAAAAAAATGCCAAAAATTATGTCAGTATTTCATTGTGACATCAAAACAATCAAAATGACGCCTGTATTGGATTGTGACGTCATCAAAACAATCAAAATGACGCCTGTATTGGATTGTGACGTCATCAAAACAATCAAAATGGCGCCTGTATTGGATTGTGACGTCATCAAAACAATCAAAATGGCTCCTGTATCGTATTGTGACGTCATCAAAACAATCAAAATGGCGCCTGTATTGGATTGTGACGTCATCAAAACAATCATAATGGAGCCAGTACTGTATAATACTCTATATATTCATTAGACGCATTCCATATCATTCCTACACACGGGGAAATAACTAATTAAAAACTTACGAATCATATGAGAATCTCTCTACCTTAGTATGGCAATGTATATCGTAGCCTTAAAACTTGGCCTTAATCAACAGAGCATGGTAGGAAGCTTAAATCAGCTTTCCTACAACAAAATCGATTAAATAATTCACAAAAGCAAAAAACAAGAGGGACTTTTTTTTTATCCCGATGCATGAGATGATTCGATTAGTTATATATTTCTGTGACGTCTATAAAAGGCTTCATTGATTCCTCTAAAACCTGGGTTATTCTTACTAGTTTCTCCCACCTTTCTACCGCGTGACGTATAGTGGAGGGAATATAACCCCCCTGCCCCCTTACCCCCTCACCTCACCTGGACGCTGCTGCAGGTTAAGTGGCGTTAATTACAGGTGGCTAGAGGAATGTAATTAGCCCGATGCAGCCCAGGGAGTTGATTACTGTCCTGTTTCATAATAAGCTCTCTTACCTTTGCTGCATAGTCTACTTAACGAGAGGTAAAAATTAATGATCATCGTTACCATTATTTACATCCTCTCTCCTCCCTCTCTCTCTCTCTCTCTGTCTCTCCCTCCCTCTCTCCCTCCCTCTCTCCCCCTCCTCTCTCTCTTTCTCTCCACTCTTCTTCTTATCGTCTTTCCATATCTCGTTACATACCTCATTACTTAACGACATCTGCGCCACCAAATTCACGATCACCTTTGCAATTTGGGCCCTCCGCTCCCCTCCTCTCCCCTCCTCTACCCTCCTCTTCCCTCCTTTCCCCTCCTCTCCGCTCCTCTCCCCTCCTCTCCTCTCCCCTCTCCTCTCTCTCTCTCCCCTCCTCTCCCTCCTCTCCCTCCTCTACCCTCCTCTCCCTCCCTCTCCCCTCCTCCTCTCCCCTCCTCTCCCCTCCTCTCCCCTCCTCTCCCTCCTCTCCCCCTCTCCCCTCCTCTCCCCTACATCTCTTATCTAGCCTACTACATCATGTTGCATATCGTACTTTGCAACAACGGCATCTAAATTCTCGATCACCCTTGCAATTTGGGCCCCTCCTTCCTCCTCCTCCTCTTCCTAATTTATCACACACACTCTTAATCGCTTTCCCATTTTTGATGATGTATATCGCATTACTTAGTACCAGCGCCGAATTGATGATCATGCTTGCAAATTTTACCTTGCAAATCATTCTCAGGAAGGAGGGAGGGAAGGAAGGTGGAGGAGGGAAGGAAGGAGGGAGAAGGAGGGATTGTTAAAAATGCAACTGGTAATTACAAGATTTGTACTTGTAACGATGAGTGAGGGTCATTAATCACCTTTTGCCTTCCTTCAGCCACCACGCCCATACCACGCCCATACCACCACGCCCATACCACCACGCCCATACTACACTCACGCCACACCTCCCTGCACCACGCCCATACCACCACGCCCATACTACACTCACGCCACACCTCCCTACACCACGCCCCTACCACACCCCCCTACACCACACCACACTCACGCCACACCTCCCTACACCACGCCCCCACCACACCACACTCACGCCACACCTCCCTACACCACACCCCCTTACACCACACCTGTTACTAGCGTCACCTTCCTCACCATGAATGAGAAAGAGGATGATGGTCACGGATAATGGTGATGAGAAGTGTGTGGTAAGTTGGTGAATAACAAGAAATCCACACTAATCCGTCGCTAAATGGGTGAAAAATGCGTAATCCTTCATAAATCTGCCTTAGGAAACCTTGGTAAGAGTTAATCCTCCGTAATCCCTCATTAGATAGAGAAAAGAGCATGGTAGTTAGTTATAATCCAGTGAAGAAGAGGAGGAAGGGGAAGAAGAAGAGGAGGGAGATGAAGAAGAAGAATGAAGAAGAATAAGAAGAAGAATGAAGAAGACTTAACCTTGAACTACATGCTCCCTCTCCTCCCTCTCCTCCCTCCCCTCTCCCTTCCCCTCCCTCTCCCCTCACACCTGGTCATCATTAACGCCCCACTCTTGTTATCACCTGTCATTACCGTCTACACCTCACCTGTCGGGACGCTGCCGTGTGATTGATGGTAATTTTCTCCCTCCGTCAGTTTTACGTCACGCATGGAGCTTTGTAGCCTAACCTTCTTCTGTCACTTTATATTGAGTTGATGGAAGAATCTCTCCTCCTCCTCCTCTTATTCTTCCTTTTCTTCTTCCTCTTCTTCCTCCTCCTCCTCCTCCTCTCTTCCTCCTCCTCTCTCCTCCTCCTCCTCCTCCTCCTCCTCCTCCTCCTCCTCCTCCTCCTCCTCCTCCTCCTCCTCCTGCTCTTCCTCCTCCTCCTACCCCTCCTCTCCTTGGCATATCTATTCAACAGTACTCAGATCATTTCCTATCCTGCTCAACGCCTTAAATATCAACTCAATTTAAGGTTCTTCCCTACCTGGCTGGATACTCTAATTACCAACCTTACCTGAGCTGTTCCCTCTTGCAGGAGTCAATGAAGGCCTAATAAATTTTCCTTTTTATCCCTCTCGTATCAGGAACTCGTAGATGTAGTTGTATTTCTAGCATGTTGTATTTCGTGATCTATTTTATACAATACCTTCATAGTTAGAGAGTCTATTATTTAATTACCTGGTATTTTTAGTCATATCAAGGTCTGTTTTACCGTATAATATATTTCGACTTGTAGATCTAGATATATATTTTCAGCATGTTGTATTAGAGAATTTATTAGTATTATATATATATTTACCTTAGTTACAATACAGTAGAACAAAGAATAAGAGTTTGGTCAGCTCCCTGTGATGTGATAATTTTTTATTATAATTAACTGGGAATGAAATATATATTAAGTAATTAAATATTAAATAGATTATAGGAAATAAATTTTGTGTGTGATCTGATAATTGAAGGAAACATATCGTTTATTTTAGTTAGAGAAATATTAATTATTTTTTCCCTGGTTAGAAAAAATTAATATAGTTTGACCTAGTAAGTCGTTTTGTGTTGTAAGGAGCTGACGAAACTCTATTTTTCAGTAGAGTTTTAAGTTATCCTGTTCGTGCATAGCGTGTAGACCTGTAGAATTTATAATATAATTCTCTCTCTCTCTCTATTCCTCGTCCTCTCACCCTCTTCCCGTTTCTCTTATCTCTATTTTGTATCGTTTTCTTGTTTTCTTATCGTTTATTTGTATTATTATTTATATTTATTTTACTTTGTCTGATTTTCTTTGGTTTTTTCTTCGAATTCTTATTATTTTGTGTTTTTATTTTTTGTTCATCGTCAACTTTTTCTTTCTTTTAATCTTTTGTTATTTATTATTCTCACGTTTCGTTTTTGTTTACAATTTTAAATACGTATTACATAAACGTATCCAATTGGTTTTGTTTTTCCTCACATTTTACTCTTTATTCTTTCCTCCACATCTCCCCAATTTTTCCTTCTGCTGCCCCTGCTCGTGCGCCTGCTACTGATCCACCTGCTGTTGCTGCTGCTGGTGGATCCTGTGCTCATTAGGAACATCCAAAGTGGAACCCGTACTTCAGCAATGCCCGCTCATTGGAACAGGTGAGTCGAGAGCAGCAGCAGCGCCGTGTTGTGGTGGCGGTGAATTACGGTACTAACCAACACTGTGATGCTCTGAGGCTCCAAGGGTTTGTTGATACGTAGATAATTGTACAAAATATAGAAAAAAAAAGAAATTAGGGAATATGAAATTAAATGATACTTAAATGTAATAAGTAAATAGATAGAATAACGATATATTTAATGCTGTAATATCTTTTAACAATTTTGTCAAGTTAAAAACAGAAAATTTGTCTTTGTAAACTTACTTCACCTGATATATTTATTCTCGTGGGTATTAATTAACTACTCAGGTATCAGAGTTAATTGTAAAGGTAATCATTCCTTCGTCTCTCAATGGCATGAATGGAAGTACTGACTCCCCGAACCTCTCTCTCTCTCTCTCTCTCTTGCTCTTTATAAGCTAAATTAGTCTCAGGTTACGTGACTGGGAACTTTTCATTAGGTGGGTCTTTAACTCTATTTGGCCTGTGGTGATTTCTTATATTATATAGTGATTAGTGGTTATCCTTGACAGCTGATGATGATTGTGATGATGATGATGATGATGATGTTGATGATAATGACCATAATAATAATTAAGATGAAATACAATGACTAGTTAAGATAATCCGTAATGATAGCTATATGTAAAATGCTCTTTGGTTAAGGCTTGTTTATACATGAGGCAATAGTTACGAGATACTTATGACACAGATCTTTAGAGGTTATTTAAGGTGAGGATAGCAAGTAATTAACTCACCTTGATTATTATTAGTCTGTTTATTTCTATGTGTTCACCTTCTCTCTGTCCACCTGATAGGAATTTTGATTATATTACGTCACAGAAAAACTTGAAAGGAAAGACTGATTATCCTACATATTGGAAGACCTCGACTCCTCCCCGTCCCCGTCCCCTCCTTCTCCTGCCCCCTCCTCCTCATTCTCCTCCTCTTCCTCCTCATTCTCCTCCTCTCTGACCTACTCCTGACCTGCTCCTGACTCTCCACAGCACCAGGAGGAACAAGGGGACCAGCCGACGCAGCATCACCAACAGTCGCGCCGTCAGGAGTTTCGGGAGAAGCTTGAGGCGAGGGCGAGGTTAAGAAGAGAGAACCACGGCGTCTCGTCCCTCTACCCCTCCCACGCCTCCAGCCACGGCCACAGGAACTACCCCCGCACCCACGTCCACGTCCAGACCGAGAACTATTACGAGCCAGTGAGTGTCCTTACCTGAGTGCGTGACTTACCTGAGTGTCCTTACCTGAGTGCATGACTTACCTGAGTGTCCTTACCTGAGTGCATGACTTACCTGAGTGTCCCTACCTGAGTGCGTGACTACCTGAGTGCGTGACTTACCTGAGTGTCCTTACCTGAGTGCAGTGACTTACCTGAGTGTCCTTACCTGAGTGCATGACTTACCTGAGTGTCCCTACCTGAGTGCGTGACTTACCTGAGTGTCCTTACCTGAGTGCGTGACTTACCTGAGTGTCCTTACCTGAGTGCGTGACTTACCTGAGTGTCCTTACCTGAGTGCGTGACTTACCTGAGTGCATGACTTGAGTGTGACTTACCTGAGTGCGTGATTTACCTGAGTGCGTGACTTATCTTGACTTAGATTTTGAAGCTGAAGCCGAAAATGATGAGAAAGATTAAACAGTACAGGTGTGTGGATGATTGGTGATTAAACAGTACAGGTGTGTGGATGATTGATGATTAAACAGTACAGGTGTGTGGATGATTGGTGATTAAACAGTACAGGTGTGTGGATGATTGATGATTAAACAGTACATGTGTGTGGATGATTGGTGATTAAACAATACAGGTGTGTGGATGATTGATGACTGTCGATAAATCAATAAACCAGTCTCTTATATCCAGGTGGCTACAGGTGGCTCACAAATTCTCCCCGCTTGAGTTACAAACCGCTATCCGTGCTTATTCACCACCCCCCAGCTGGTACACCACCACCACCACCTGTATGTAGGTCATTTATCATCCCTGTCTCTCTCTCTACCTCACAGCTGGTTCACCCTCACCACCTGTTTTTATTTAGTCCTCCATTACACCATCTGTCTCCCTCTGTCTACCTCACAGCTGGAACGTCCCCCGGAGATTGAGGTAGAGGTGCAGACAGAGCCGTGGGCAGAGGACGGATCCATCCCTCCTATAGTGTTCCAGACGCCTCGAGGAGTGGACGTCGACACACAGGTCTACGACAAAGAGGTCAACAGAGTCTTAATACGCTACTCACCTGTTGTAATCTGTTTAATTATGCACTGTCTACCTGTTGTGGTCTTTTAGGTTATACTGTTTACCTGTTATCATCCGTTACCTTAAACTTTTTACCTGTTGTGGTTATTTTGAAATATTAATCCACCTGTTGTAGCCAAAGATTGAAACACCCCCCACACACCCAACACTGTACACACACCCCACACACCCCACACTGTACACACACTTATCCTTGGGAACACACCTGTACACTTCCCCTCCCCCCACCCTCCCCAATTGGCGTATGTGATTAACGCAATGACTGCAATAACTTTACCTGGATGTGAAATATATTAAGGTGAAGTATGAGTAATTGCCTGAATTTCTAACTTTCTGTGAGTCATTTGTATACACCTGTCACACCTGTTTTATATTATTTACACTTGGGTTATAAATCACTCCCCCTCCCTCCCTTGCTCTTACCTTCCGTGACGCAGGTAATGAGAAGTGATGAGATTAAAGCTTGATTTACCTGAGGTCATAGTCAGGTATAATGTCATTAAGGTGTTACGAGTCATTGGTAAGACCACAGGTACTCAGTCAGGTGTGTCAGATGTGTCAGGAATGGATTGCTTGATGGCCAGGTGTGTCAGGGATGTATGATGTTGTAGAATGTAGGAAGTTACGTATATTATGTAGTCATACAGCGAGTATGTGTGTTTGTTATGTACACAGATAAAGTGAATCACAACGGGTTAAAACATATCGGTAAGTTTGGTCTTGAGTGCAAACATGTGGAGCGCTGAGGTACACATATGGTGGGGATCTAACACACACACACACACACACACACACACACACATAGTACATATGCAGTGCGTCATAAAGTACATGTACAGTGCGTCATAAAGTACATGTACAAAGCGTCATAAAGTACATGTACAGTGCGTCCACCACCACCACCACCACCACCACCCACCACCACCCACCACCACCACCACCACCCACCACCACCACCACCACCACTACCATCACCACTACCACTAACACCATCACCACCGCATTGTTACACCCCATGTCTCAGCACCTCATGTCTCAGCACCTGTGTCTCAGCCCCATGTCTCAGCCCCCCATGTCTCAGGACCTCACCCCTCATCTATAATACCAACGTTCGTGACTAACTTTACCTCTACCAGAATTGCTTGAGACTTCTGACCTACTCGGCAGTGCTTGTGTGAATGACCTGTTGTTAAATTGATCTATAATACTTGAGTAATATGGAAGGTCAAGCTACGATTCAGTACCAGTGTTGATAATCATCCGTGTATGACCACCTGGCCTAGAATAATGGCAATGTTTTAACAATTTATTAGAGACGCTGTTTTTTAAGGAGCTTTTATGGGGTAACTACTTAAATTTATACTTAATTTAGGGAATATTTAAAGTAGGGTAAAGGGTTGTTTTTATTTATGGCGTAAGGAATAACTGTATGAAGTTATTTAAGTTCTGTAGTTATTTAAATCCCATACTGAAACGTCTACTACAAACCTGAAATTCTCAAGACACACAGAAGCCTAGGTGAGAACAAGACCAAACACACACTATATCAACCATTCCTTCCTCAACCAGAAAAAAAAAAGATTTAATTTGTCTTATAAATAAACAATAACAATTACTATACACTCTCATACCCAAAAGTGTTTTAATACATCACATAAATAAACATGACGAACTCGAGGCACTCATTTAAAAAGGTGTTTATGCTCGTAAGGTCGTAAAGTGAAGCCCTCTCGAGCCGAACACCACCAACACGCACAGCCTTCACCACCGTCATAACACTACAATTGTTAGTCTTTCATTACTCATCGTCCTCACTACGCCCACCGCCCTCACTACGCCCACCGTCCTCACTACGCCCACCGCCCTCATGTGAATAGGGGGTAGGTTGTGTAGGGGTTGGGAGAGGATGGTGGTAAGGGATGGTAGGGGAGAAGGTTCCGGTAGGGGCTGGTGGGGATAGTAGAGAGGTGTGGCAGGGATAGGGGAAGGGGTGTTCAGGGGTAGGACGGGGCCATTAGTTGATATAGGACATAGAGAAGTAATTATACCAGGTAAGATGAGGTGATAATGACGCAGGTGTAGGTAATGTCGTGCCTCGGGTGATTGTAAGCTTGGCTGAGTACTTCCTTGTTTGATGATGATCGTTAACGAGGCGAGTGTTTTGTTGTGGTTCCTCACTGTCCTTATAGTGTGTGGTTCCAATGCATATTACACACACACACACACACACACACACACACACACACACACACACACACACACACACATAAACACCTTTAAACTCCTACTGTACTTAATTTAAACTAATTACTATAAATACCTCCATAATTAAAAGTATAATGACCCAAATAATACAATTAAGTCACTCCCACTAAATCTCGTCTGGGTTACTAATTCATCATCATTAGTGACGTTAATTGAGGTGAATGTATAGTACAGTTATGTGAGAAGAATGGTCCCTGTACCACTCGTGTTTGGAACTGTGTACCGAAGTTGTTATGATGTGCTAGAATGTAAATAATACGCGTATATGACCGGTTCAGAGGCTTGTTCAGTTAGTTCAGAGGCTTGTTCAGTTAGTTCAGAGGCTTGTTCAGTTAGTTCAGAGGCTTGTTCAGTTAGTTCAGAGGCTTGTTCAGTTAGTTCAGAGGCTTGTTCAGTTAGTTCAGAGGCTTGTTCAGTTAGTTCAGAGGCTTGTTCAGTTAGTTCAGAGGCTTGTTCAGTCAGTTCAGAGGTTCGTTCATATAATTCAAAGATTCGTTCAAATAATTCGGTGTGAAGGGATTATTTCTAAGGTATGTTAATGAGCTCTACACCTGTAAAGTCACTTCTATCATCACCTTAATTAAGAATGAACTAGTGATATTACTAACATTAATACACACTTCAAAAAACACCCTTTAATTGTTGACGCTCATTATAGCCTCGAGTCCTATAAAGCGTAAACATTTATAGCCCACCAAAAACACATCTATAATTCCTACTGTATAAGGTCATCCCCCTAAAAAAAAAGGAAAGTGGAATTATTATTATTTTATCACTAAATGACCCCCTAGCGCATTCCTCTCTCTCTCCGTTACAGTATTCAAGGTCGGCCACTTCCCATAACCTGCCTGGCTCACTAATTCATCAGCTACAATGGCAGTTACTGTGTTATTTGTGGCGTAATGAGAACCACTTATCTTTATGTTGTACCTGTAGTTTGTCATTATGTGGCTCTTGCGGTAATTGGAGGTAATTACTTGCCTCTTAACATAACCCTGCGTCTTCTTCCTCCACCGCGTCCGTCCATTTTCTCTTACAATGAGGTTGGGTCGAAGGGGAAACTCTCTCAGAAATGACAACTATAACACTTTAATAATATCTGTCTTAATTTATGGGTTTTAATACTTTTTTTCAACTTATTTTTGTTATAATTTGCGGTAGATTGTTATTATTAAACTTATACTTTACTATGTATCACACACACACACACACACACACGCACACGCACACTACATACATGCACCTCACTCTACCCATGTGTGTTTTGAGTCCATTAATGTTTGGTTTTTTATGACAGTTAGGTAGTTTAGGGGTGAAGGTTGTATACATATTAATAATAAAGTAAAGAATCCACGTTAACACCTGTGTGGGAGTTGGACCTTGACCTTTTAGTAAGAGGAACCACTAAAGGTAGTGTGGAGGAGGAGGTGGTGTGTGGTGGCGACGGGAGAGCAATACTGACCTACTGTAGTTTGGTCCTGGTACGACTCTCTCACTCACCTGTGTTGGCTCGTAACTTACCTGGATCTCTTGGTTGTTCATGTCAGAATAACAGTGTATGTGTGTGTGTGTGTGTGTGTGTGTGTGTGTGTGTGTGTGTTTAAATAATCATGTCACTCGCGTCCTTTGCACACTCAGTAAAGTTCACATAACCTTCTTGGAATCTTCTGAAGTTCAAGGCAGTTTTTAGAAAAATCTGTTCGTTAATAGTGAACTAACTCACATTACAGCCATTACACCCATTACAGCCATTACAGCCATTACAGCCATTACACCCATTACACCCATTACACCCATTACACCCATTACACCCATTACACCCTCGCTAGTGGACTCCCGGGAACCATTTTCTTTATAGAGAAACACCTGCATTAATTATGATGACGTTCATCCTCACACCCATTAAGATCTTAGACGAACGAGGACAAGGGCGAATCTGCCGGGCTGCGGGTATAGAACACAAGACCTTAATGCACATGTGGTTTATCACTGTCTTGTACTGTGAGCTTCATTGTTCCGGCAGGTTTAATAAACGATAACAGGCAGGTTATTGTTGTTGTTGTTGTTGTTGTTGTTGTTGTTGTTGTTGTTATTGTTGTTGTTGTTGTTGTTGTTGTTGTTATTGTTGTTGTTGTTATTGTTGTTGTTGTTTGTACCACCAGGAAACAGATGGGCATCGTGTGGTGGTGGTGCAGGCTGTGCGTGATGGATCAGCTGACTAAACCCGTGTTGTGGGTCCAAGGCTGAGTTAAGCTTGTTTATATCCCTGGTGACTTGGGGACCTTGGAGGGCAGTACAGCGTCAGGAAAGTCTTATTATGGCTTGGGTGGCCTGGGTGGCTTGGGTGGCTTGGGTGGCCTGGGTGGCTTGGGTGGCCTGGGTGGCCTGGGTGGCTTGGGTGGCCTGGGTGGCCTGGGTGGCCTGGGTGGCTTGGGTGGCTTGGGTACATTATCATCCTATAGCCGTGACAATCTGCCAGAAATCCATTGATAATCTTGCCTGGAGGAACTTCAATGCACTGATGCTATCCTCCACTGGGCCAATTCTTGTGTCATTGACTTGGCTCTCTCCATGACGCAAAAACGACGATAGTAATGTGAAATATTTATACACTAGAACAACTCCTGTCAACCACGGCTTCCAGAACCACCGCTACCTAACTACGATGTTGAGATGTTGATGAACGA